AAATTGAAACTAGTATAACAAAATGAGTTCTAATATTTGATAGTTTAGTTTCATTCTACTTAAGGGTTTCACAATTCTCTCTAATTAACTGATGTCCTTCATCTGTGTTCCTTAACAAAAATCATCTGCCAATTAGATAGAGTTCTAGATTTGGCCCCTGCAAATTCAAATAGGTGCTCCCATGATTTATCATTTTATTCTGCATGACACTTAGTTCCCATATTCAAATTGATGTATACTTTGATAATGTTAGCAACAATCTGAATTCTCTGCTTTGGCTTAATCGCCTCACGATTTTGTCCAAGTGGTGTAACTTCCCAGAAGGCCACTGAAACTAAGAGTGACACTCAATTTTTGAATCTTTTATGAAATTATGATCATTACACTAAAATAGATCATAATGTTTAAGAGTTTAACTTCATTTTACTTTATAATATTTCATACCATTATTCAAACGCACCACTAGCATCTCCTAAATCTCTCCATCCACTATTATTATGATCACTAGCCTCTTAATGTATTTGATGATGAAAAAAAAAATTATAGTTTTTAGGAAGAGATCATATACATATTATGTTTATATAATCTTATCTATGTAGGAGAAAATGTATTTCATTTATAAATTTTAGTAGCAATAATATTTTTATATGATATGAATGCGGGAATTGTTAGTCCACATAACTTTAATGCCCCCTTTTTTCAAATACATATATACTATTACTATGGTATTAAATATGTATGTTTTCTTAAGTTATCCAATCCAAAAGCTCTTAAATAAACCAAAAAACAAGAAGTGTGAAAGCGGAGAAAAGAGAGCCGTTGCATTTGAATTGTTCAACGCGCGCTGACCCCAACTCACCGACTCAGGGAAAATAAATGAACATGCTAAGAATTTCAAATTTTGTCAGATGATGCAGAGATATCATAAGTTCGTTGTTCCATCACCACCTTACCTATACATGAAATGTGAAAAGCAAAGTTTAGTTATTAGATATGTAAATACCTGAAAATTTGGTGGTATGTTTGTGATTGCCCCATTTTTTAATCATGTATTAGTATATTTAATTCTACGAAGGACTAACACCACTAGAAACCAATGTAATTAATGTAATTTGTAAAGTTAACTAAAATTATAGTTAGCCCTATCATTCTAAGAAGAACTAATGTCATTAGATAATTAAATCAAATCAATATTTGTTAAAGAAAGTTGTTATGTTTCGTGCTTAAACTCGCAGGCTAGATTAAAACAAAGTGAATAATCACAATGCAACAAAATTCGAGTGCTCGTGCTGCTCGAAAAACAGACGAGAAATTATTTGCATCTAATATATTTGGGCGAGTAACAAGCACTTGCACTTACTTGATTTCAATCAAACACATTTTTATTGAATGGTTGGGATTGAATATATCAGAACCAGAATGATTTTGCCTCAAGTTATTTGATGCAAATCTAGTAAAACAATGAGGAATTATTGGTTGGGATTTAGTTGGTAAATGTGGACTTTCAGAGAGGAACAATGTCAAATTGAAAGTATAGAGAATAATGATACTCTTTAAATTTGAAAAAAAATATTACGTCCGGAATCTGGACATAAGCTACGTTGCGATGCACCGGAAGAAGCGGAGATGAAAAAAACGACTTCCTGTGAATCACAGTCATTGTCCGGACTTTTTTCCTAAATTTGGTGCAACTCCAATAAATTTAAGAGAGTTAAGAAAATGAAGTAAAAACTTAATTGTTAGCTTACAAAATTTGAAAAAATTAGCTTACAAAACTCTAACATTAATGCAAAAATTTCAAAACTTTTTCTGAATGGATATTCTTGCAATTGCCTTTGTAGATAACAATGGGAACTATTGACTCAGAATCACTTGGTCAAATAAAATTTATGATGGAGCAGGTACGAATTTAACTTCTCTCTCTCTCTCTCTCTCTCTCTCTCCCTCCTACCCTTTTCCTCATCTCCCATACACACACACACATAAATGCCTTGCTTGCCCACTTTGTCAACGCACTCAAAACTATTATTAAATTGCACAGCATACACTAATATGATGCTAAGTCACCATTTACTTGGATGATGCATCCCTATTTTAGATGGAAAGAGCTATATTACTATTTATATGAAATAGAGGACATGGAAGAAAGAAATGATAAAAGGAATTTAAAAAAAATTAATTGTCACTTTCACCCACTTATTATAGATGAAAAAGATAATTTATTACTTAATTATTAAAAAATAAATTTTTTATTTCTTATGAGTGAGAGTATTATCCATGCTCATGATCCAAAAAAATTGATTTTTTTTTCCATTTAACTTAATTTGATAGAAAAGTATTGTTGGCTGGTATTATTTGTGAGTTCATGTAATCCAACAAAGATATTATCTTTCGATAGAAGATTGACTAAAAAGAAATGAATGTTAAACATAGGAGAGTATTTTCCAGTGTAACTAAGGAATTAGAAACTCCGATCAGCCACGAAAAATGGCTTTGGGGAGGTTTCTTGAATTATAATGATTTCTCATGTTCTGTTTATTGTGTCTTGATGAAAATACCATGACGTGGATGTTAGGCAGTGCTTTTAAAGGAGGATGAGCTTGCGTATAATGATGAGCATCTCTGCTAGTTGTCCTCTCTTAGAAGGGCTAGGCTTTCCCTGGGGAAAAGGTAAATCTAGGTTTTTCAGAGAGTAAGCTCTGTTCAACCACTTTGAAAGGTGGATTGGTTCAGCCACCTCGACATGTGAGCTTGGCTCGAAGTACAATTATGCCAATGAGGATGATGAGGATTATATTCCCCGAGTTCTCCCCCCATCATGAGGCAGCTCACATTGATCATTTTAGATTGTTGATGATAAGGGGGGCTTCTGTGAGCTCTTTATCGAGCCAAATGACATAGCTAGCTCCAGAATTCAAAATGAAAATCTATCCTTGAGAAAAGATGTTCTGATTAGTCATATAAGCAAGTTTAGGAAGTAGAAAAGCCTAAGAAAAGTCGAATAACTTCATGCGAGGCTCCTTCGATGGAAGTTTCCTAGATCACTCTGACCATGCAATGTCAGGTAATGATCATGAATCAAGATAAAAGTTGGTTGACTTTGCCTAGGATTGGCTGCCTGGCACGGGACGACTGACATTTCAATTAGGCTCAGTAATCAACTTGAGCCATCTGAGGGAAACAATGTAAGTCACCAATTTGGAGGACCACCATATTCCTTTGATGGAAAGCCAAGCATCATCATGGAAATGGGTGTATACTATTGATGCATCTCATCATGCTCTTATGAGGGAAAAGAGGTGTTTCAAATTAGTTTGTGAGGACATGGAGAAGGTACTCTCAGCACTAGATGCCACTCATACTAAATTACAATCAGAATTGAAGGTTCTCAAAGTAGAAAATGTTGATCTCCTATACACCCTATCAGTGTATGCTAATGGGAAAGACCTTTTTCAATGACAGGTTTAGTCACTAATTTATGATAAAGTGAGGCTCGAGATTCTTGATAATAAGTATACATTTAACTATTTTGAGAAAACTGTAAGGGTGGTCCATGAATCATATTTAAAGGAGAGAGACAACCTTTGAAGGATTGAAGCTGAACTAGAGTAAAATAGAAGTATAATCTGAGACATTTTTAGAATAATTGAAAAGACTTAGAGCTCAAATGATCAAACGTATGAAAAAAATGAAAAACATGAAACTGAGGAAGAACTTCCGTTCCATCTAACTTTGACTCAAATATATGAAGACCTTTTGGTGGATATCTATGAAGGGGTCGTGATATTTATTTTAGGAGCGTTAGTGCATGAGGTGTCTTCCCTCTGGATTGGAATGACACTAGTCATTTTCTTGCATTTTCTTTGAAACTCTATTATTATGATGGTATATGTGAATTTCCAGAAGACATGTGACTGTTTACTCAGGTTGTCAATTACTCAAGTTGAGCCTTGTATACTGAATAAAGTTGTATTGATTACTGAATGAAATTGCCTCGAATAGAATTCACTTTTAATAGATTTATATCAAATGGGATTAAGTCTATCATGAGGAATATTATTCTTTTTCTTTCTACCTCGTGTTAATTTTTATACTCTTGCTCGGGCACATATTTGCATGTTCAAAACGAAAATGCCATTTATTTTAGTTTGACTGACCTGTGTAATATTCCGATATGACTCCTATCCATAGCGAATTGATGAAAAGACCATAGCGTGGATGTCAGGTGACACTTTTAAAGAAGAATGGACTCACATTATTGTCTATATTAATGAATATTTCTGATAGCTCTCCGCTACTGGGGAAAAGATAAATCTAGGCGCTTTGGCAAGTGGGCTCAGTTTATCCACTTCCTTAGCCTTATTTGGTTCAGTCAGTTCGATAGGTGGGCTTGGTTCAGTCATTCGACATGTGTGCTCAATTCAGTCATTTCAGCACGTAGGTTTTGTTCAGTCACTTTGATAGGAGAGCTTAATTCAATCACTACCAGATTTTATGACAAGGATTGTTCCGACTTCTGCGGAGCTTAATTCAACCACTTTAACGGGAATGCTTAGTTCTCAAAAACAACCAGATTTTATGACAAGGATTGTTCCGACTTCTGCAACCTATTGTCTTCAATATCAGGCTACCTATAAAAAACCATGTTTAGATATTCTAGTCTTATCTTTGTATACAAACATCATTAACAAAAACACATTTATTCTCATTTCCAAGTAACATAAATTCAATTTCCCATTACTAACACTTAAATTAAACCATAAAAATAACTAATTATAATCCACGTTGTGGCAAGCATTATTGTTAGTGTCATGGGTTGCACCACAACTCTTTCACCAACAAATACTTGACTGCTTCCCAATCTTTTTTATCTCCTCTCTCAATTAATCCCACCAAATTCTCCACCGAAATCATTACACCAAGAGCACAATAAATATAGGCAGGTGGTAGCTCACATTGCACATTTACTCCCCCCTTCACCTTTGTAATTTCCACTGTCCTTCCCCTCCACTCTCTCTCCTTATATTCTCCCTTCCATACACAAGCCACACACCCTCTCTCTCTCTCTCTCTTGTATGCCACACACCCTCTCTCTCTCTCTCTCTCTCAAGCTTCTCTGCTTCCATGGCTTGCAGCTTTGGATTCCATTTTCGGATTCTGCTGCTGGTTTTTCTGCTAATGAAAGCAAGTGTTATAACTGTTAATGGCGATGCGTTGGTGACTGGTTCAGTCTTCTGTGATCAGTGTAAGGATGGCTCTCGTGGTCTCTTTGATTATCCTCTGTCTGGTAAGCTATGTAATTATGTTAATTAAGATGGATTATAAGATCTTTAGCTGCAGTTTTAGAGAAATTATTACATACGGATCACGTACACAACACTACTCAGTAATATTTCGCCATGTGTGGTATATCGGACCTAACTCCCGTGGAGATTATTGAAATAGAATCATGAATGTTATTCTACTAACACTGCAATAAACTCTCAATAACTTTCGTTTTTACACCCTCAATAACCTCCCAATAAACCTCGTGATTACATTTTGCAATAACCTCATAGTAACACCCCATTAACCTTCCAATAATCTACGCCCCCTGTATAACCCCTGCAATAAACTAATAATAACACCTCAATAATTTTCACTGTTTCACTTCAATAACCTTCTAATGACCTCCATGTGACGGCATATTACAAGAAGTCAGCACGCTGAACTGCATAAGCGCCCTTCACTATTTCATTCTGAACATAAATTTACTCAATCATTAAACAGATATTTCATTTCCTTAATTTTTTTTAATCCCTATAAAAATAAAAACCGAAATAATTCCAAGTTTTTTTATTTAATTTATTGGGTACAGGGGCCAGGGTGGCGGTTTCGTGCGGCGACCAATACAGGGAGGAGAGCTCCAACATTCTGGGAACTTACTCGGTCCGGTTCAACGGTAACCCGGACCTGGGCGGGTGCTTGGCTCGGGTGGTGCGAGGGCCGGATAACTGTTCGGTGGCTTCTGGCCCCGCCCAGAGCCTTAAGTTTATTTTTCGAATGTTTGATATGGAGGCTTATTCTGTTGACCCGTTACTGGCCCAGCCCAGTAAGGTAATGGATTTCTGCTCGCATGCCGGGACCCCGGCGAAATCCCGGCCATCGCCGCCGGCGATCCCATTTGTGGAAGCTTCCGCTTGCTCTTACGAGTATGTGATCTTTAATATTTTTTACTTGTCTGTAAAATTAACAGTCTTATCAGATTATATATATATAGCTGTGTGCGTATCATGGTCTGTTGGTAGAGCAGTGTCTCTGAAGGTTATAAGTCCTCTCAGATCACGGGTTCGAATTCCCTAGTGTGTAGGGTGTGATACTTAAATATTTAGCACGCCTAATGATGGTCGGGACTCGTCTAATGGCATTGGGCAATTCCTTAAATTTGAAATATATATATATATATATAGCTTTCATTTTATAAAATTGTTAAATTTTCAAAATTATATATACAAAAAAATGTTTTATATCATTTATAAGAAAAAGTATAACAAGCATTTGCATGCACCACCCAATTTCTATGCATTTACATATCTATCAGTTAAAATTACTTTTTATATTTATACCACCCAAAATTTTAATATCACGAAAAAAATATTAATTATTTAATTTTTAGAACGTGAATTACATATCTTCATGCATCATTAAAATGAGATATAGATAAAAATTGAAATTTAAATATTAGATAAGTAAATATGTAAAAACTAAGTGCATATATGTAAATCTTCCTAAATAAAATTATCTATAATAACATAATTTTTGCATATTTCTTTCATAAAAATATCAAAAGATTTTTACATTTCAACCATCCAAAATTTTAAATATAACGGATAGACCCCCCAAATTTCAAATTTCATGATTCAACAATCCAAAAGTCACCTAAAACTTTAAATTTAAGGAATTGAACACCCTCTCAAAAGAAAATAAAATTGTGGATGATTGAAATATAAATTTTAAATTTATATGACCATAACATTATTTTTAAGATTTTGACTAACTAATACGTGAAAGTTCAAACAGCAAATGGTTAATGCCAGCATACAAATGCTACTGGAAGATGGTGTCGCCGGAGACGCCGGTGGCCGTAGTTTTCGGACCCGTGGCTGCTGGAAAATACGGCACCGATATGAGCCTATGGACCGCTCTCCATGGCCGCGGAGACGTATACCGGACACTCCTACGGGAAGCCACGGCGGCGCTCCTCAACTCTTACAACAGCTTGAGCTTCCCTTATCCGACACTCAGTGTGATCAGTCATATGAATTCAGCTCTGCTTGGCTCTCAAAGAGAAGCATTGATGACTGCGTTGAGATTCCGGCGAGCTAACTCCGGCGTTGCCGGCCATTCAACGGTCGCCTGCAATTTTACTCCTTGCTCTTGAGGACGGTGCTATGTTTTTGTTTTATCATTTTGCTTATCTACGGATATTATATATATGCAGTATGCTTATAGTGTGCTACTTTCTTCAGGCTACGTCTATGGGTATTGTTATTGTTGAGAAGGGATTTTGATTTAGGTTATAATTAATATTGGATCGTTTTTTACTTGTTTTTTTTACTTTTGTTTATAGGGATAATTATACGTGCACAACACTCGAAATATCATTATTTATGAATTTGTCTTCAAATGATTTTTGTAATTATCAAATTGGTACATTTATGCATGCTGATAAATATATGCAAATTAAAGATGAGGGAGAGGAGAAGAGTGAGGGAGATATAAGTAGGGTGTGTTTTGCTGAACAAATTTGCAATCTGCACTGTAGTAGCGATATAGAGCGAAATGATGGTGTTGCTTTGGAAGTGATGATGAGTGTAATGACAATCAATCTTGATAGGTTTTATGTGCTCATGAAAAATTGAATTGTGAGTGATCAAAATAACAGGGATTTTACCACAATGCAAGAGCGTTGGGTCAAAAAGGAAGACTCCCATATCAGCAAGTAACCATCACAACTAGATAATCTCAATACTAGCAGAAGTCATAGCTCGATATTCTACTTCTATTGATGACTGAGAGACAATAGTATGCTGCATGTTCTTCTAAGAGATGAGAGAATCATCTTTAATAATGTTGAAACTAGAGATAGATTTGCGGTTAGAAGATTCACCTCCCTAATTGACTTCAGAGTAAGCTAAAAGTTCTAAAGTCAAGTAGATGGAAATAGAAAATTTTGGAATTGAGTGTCCAAAAAATATCGAAGGATATAGAGTATAGCTACCCAATGAACTATCAAGATGGGTAAGAAGAAGAGACCAACTTGCTAATAATATGGATGATATAAGCAATATTAGTTACACTAATAGTGAGAAGCATCAACCTGCTATCCAAAGTACAATACAAAGTATGATCCGATAAAGGGACACCATCATAAGAAGAATGTCTAACATTACGTTCAAGATGGGTATCAACTCTGTGATTGTCACACATGTGAGCTTAATCATGTGAGCTTGTTCAAGAAGTGCAGTCATATAGTTAGACTGAGAGAAAACATAGTCATGAGGAGAGTAAGGTAGTTCTATCTCTGAAAAGTTGCGATGATGACCCAAATCTTTCATCTAAAACTCATGAGCTAAGTGTATTTTCAAATCACCAATCCCATCATCATCATTATCTACTACTGGAAAAATCGCTAAAATCGTAAAAAAAAACTGATGTCTTTTTACGCTTCACAGAAATTATTGTTATTATTGAGGAATTTATGAGGAAATAACCAAAATCCAAAATTATCAAAGGCTGAGGTACTTGTCAGATCTGAAATAGGATATAGTTTGAAAAACAATAATCTCTCAAAAATTGATTCTAAGTTTGACTCGCACATGAAACTCAAGTTGAAATAAACATGCCAAGGTACTAGCCAAAATTTTGGATTATATATATTTAGAACCTCCATATCAAATTTAGTTGAAAATTCATCATTTTAGCTCAAAGGTAGATCGTTTAACATCTTAATATGTTAGTTCTATCAAAAATTATTAAACCATCTTTGAATCGTAATTGCTTAACTCATCTCCCTCTAATAGTGTATGTCACTGTAGTTATACCCGCCCGCTCACAGATATATTTGTTTTATATTTTATCTCTACGGAAACCCCAATGGATCACAGACTTTACACTTGTTGAGAAAATGCGAAGCAAATATACTCATGAATGAGTTGGTGTAGCTATGATGACAAACAGGATCAGAGATAAAATGTTGATAAAGTTTCATCGATTATCAATCTTTGACATCCCCAATAGTCTCAGTAGATTGTTAACATTCTGATTTCAAGGTTAACTATTAACAACTCTAAAGAAATCTGAGTCTAAATTAAATCCAGCCAATTTTCGAGCAGTAATTGTTATTTCGCATTAAGAAAAGTAATTACAATGGTTTATTTAAACTTCATGATGTATCTTTCAAATATTGTCTGTAGCTACTCCAACCCTATCACAAACATACTAGTTCTGTATTTTATTTTCACCTGTAAAGCCAATTATAGAACTAAATATTATAGTCACTGTAGACCTTATGTGATTGATTGAACACGTGAAAACATGTTCTTAGAAGGAAATATTTCATTAGAAGAAAGAGTTTTCATTGCATCCTCTAACGTGAAGTATAATTTCCACAGCTAGCATGAAAATTTACTTCAAAACCTAATTTGTCTGTTCCAAAATGAAAATTCACATCAAAATTTAAATTCCATTGCCGCAGTTCCCATTTTGGCAATGCAATTGCAGCAAATTTTTTCTCATAATCCATACCATATTGTTGTGAGAACCTTTTAACAATTAAATGAGCTTTGCATCACTCAATAGACTCATCAAACTTGGTTTTGATCTTATAAACCAAGTGTGAACTAATGACACATTTCCTAGAAGAAAGAGAAACAATATCCCAAGTACCTATCTTATGTAAGAAAAAAGGTTCCTCTATCATTGCTTGCTGCCAAATTGGATTAAGAACAACCTCTCTATAAGTGGAGAGCTCTGAGGGCTGGTGAATATAGATCAAAAAAAGAGGGAAAAGAGACTAAATATGTGGAATACACAAAATTAGGCAACTAAACAAACTTACAAACATGTTGAGGGTAGTGAGGAGGAGAAACTGAAATCACAGTAGCAACTTAGGGTAATAGGGGCAAGAGAGGAATCTATCAGAGGAGTACAATAAGTTGTAAGTCCATTTGTATCATCCCCACATAAATAAATATGAGAGAGAGAGGAGTGTTATGAGATGAAGCAACATTTGTGTCAGTCGAGAAGAGATTAATGTGAGTAAGGTCAAATTTTTTAAGAGTTTGTGTATTAAATGGAATAGAGTAGATGATACTATGTTCATGAAACACAACATGATGAGAAACATATAGCTATTGAGAAACAAGATCCCAAGAACAATATTCTTTTTGACCTTCAATTGAACAAGAAAGAAATAAAGTGTTGAACAAGAGGTGAGTTTGTTATGTTCAATATGAGAACAAGAACAAAACATGTGGAACCAAAGACTCTCAAAGTGTAATAATCAAAAACTTGCATATACAATTTTTGAAAGGTGACACATCTAAAGTAATCGAAAATGGTATATGGTTAATCACTTGAACAACAGTAATAACAACTTCCCTCCAAAATTCACTAGGAACATATCTAAATAATAAGAAAAGATGGATAGTTTTAATAATGTGCATATATTTTCTTTTAGTAAGACCATTCTTATCGGTACAAGAGATTTGATGGAAATTCCCATCCAAAGTAAGTAGTTCCAAAAATAATTTGGATGCTTATATATTCACCAGCTAAGTCACACCTAAAACATTTAATAATCTCATTGTGTTGGGTTGTAACAAATGCCTGAAACATATGATAAATGTCTAGAAAATCACAATTATATTTTTTAATTACCCAATAATAACGAGTACAATGAGCAATAAAGGAAAAAAAAATTTTGAGATCAAATTTTTGTAATTAGAACACATTAAAATGATTAAATCAAGTGGTGCAAGATAAGTTTATAGACTTCTATAAAATTGCAAAGTAGGAAATTTAACCACTTTGCAACCATAATAATCTAAAATGTCACGAGGTTACAATTTTCTTGAAGTTCTGGTAGAAGCTGAATACTTTAGAAGAGAAACAAAAAACATGCCCAAGATGAGAATGTCATATATAAAATCTAGAAGACAAAGAACATAAAGGAAAATAAGATATGTCAACACTATAACTTGCAACTCTTAAACTCTCAGCTCATTTAAAATGTATAACCCATGCCTATGACCCACTCTAATTAACTTATTGGAATGCATATACTGCACATATTAAGAAAAGGAAGGAAAAAATTTGAGAAGCCGGATCACACAATTGACCAATAGAGATAGGGTTCAACGTAAGAAGTGAAATACAATATGCATTTAAGATAGATACTTAAAATGAGCAGATAGAACCAACACATGCTAAGGACATAGAAATACCATCAACAGTCATGACATACACAGAAGAAGTATGATGTAAGGATAAAAAAGAACTGAAAACAGATGACATATGGTGTGAAGCACCAAAATTAAGAACCCATATAGATGGAAATATACTTGACTTGCTAATAAAAGGCAAACCTGCAGGTGAAAAGGTAGATATAGCATGCGACATTGAGAGGCAATAAAATTTTGTAATTACCTAATGCGTGAGGCAATAGTGCCACTGAAAGATCGTTGCTTCCAGAAGTGAACATGAACTCATGAGCATTTGAGTTAGTAAGTGGAACAACTACAAGTGCATTCTTAGATGGTGAAGAATCTTCAAATGGTTTATTTTGTGGTTGGTTGTTTGGTTTCCAAGATAAAGGTTGATGAGATGGTTGCATTCAATTCAATAACTTTGGACAATTAGTCTTTTAGTGACCCTTTTGATTACAAAAAATGCACTCATCAAAGCCAAACTTCACTTTATTATGATTACTGAAAGGTGTTTTAGGAGGAACTGCAAGAGCACATGTAGTAGGAGCTTGAAAGTTTTTCTTTCAAGCACTTCCTTTAGCTGCTTGGGACTTCAAATGAATTTCCTTAGTCACCAACTCAATAACCATCAAGAAACATAAGGAAAATGATTGAGATGCAAATTTGTGCCACAAAGACCTTCAAAATCTTCCCAAAGAGTCATCAAAACTTAATCCAACAAGCATTACAAGAGAAAAATGCCAATAATTCTGCATATTCAGTAAGAGTTTGCTAATCCCAAAGATTAGACATGTCATAATAAAATTCTTAGACACTCATGCTATTTTGCTGAAGGGCTTGAATATATATCTTCAATTGGTACTATTTTGTAAAATTAGACTGTGTATGAAATCTTTCTAAATGATCCCAAATTGCTTTAGTCATTTTATATTTTGTTATTGGACACCTATAGACTGTAAGGTAGAGTTATTGACACATGTTATAATTTTTGAATTAGAGAAACTCCAAGGTTATGATTGTTCTACAAATTTCTCATCTTTTACATTTGTTGGTTTAGCAAAAGTTCCAGAATCATAACCCCACATTTTTTTTACCATTTTAGAAAATCTCTCATAACATAACTCCAATACGAATAATTCTACCCATTCAATTGCAC